AAAGACAGTCTGAATAAAAATAGCTGCTGCGGATTTCTTTTGGTCCAGTTAGTGTGTTAAGTCACGAGTTGTGTGAGGACTCAAGACTTTTGCTGGGCAGAGACGCCCTTCCAGTAGTCTAAGATGTCGTGAAGATCCTCGTCTTTGGCAAACTGGACCTTTTTGCGTAGGGCATGGCCGGCTGCCATATACTCCTCCTCGTCTTTGTGCCGCTTGCGGTTGAGTTTGAAGCGCTCCCAGATGCTGTGCGATGGTTTGCAGGTGTACTCTGGGCTGGAGGTGTAGCTCAGGTTGTGATACTGAGGCGAGAGCTGGGAATAGGCCAGGTCTCTGGGGCGAGGACGGGTCAGAGGCTCCAGGATGGAGGGCTTTCGCCCCACCATGCTGTCATGCTGCTCCCCTTGGTGCGAGCTGGGGTACGAGTGCCGGTGTTCGCTGTACTGACGGATCTTCTCCGCTTCTGCCCGCAGGATGGCCGCGGCCGGTGTCACAGTGAGGATGGTGTCAGTGGTGGGGGACGTCTTCTCAATGTATTTGGCTTCTGATTTGTGGCCCGATCCCTCGGAGCGGTAGGACCTGGGGCTCCGTATGGAGCCACTGGAAGAGGTGCTGGAGCGTTTGGGGGCCGCCTCCATGCTGTGGTGTCGCTGGAGAGGGTGGTTGTAGCTTTCCTTGTAGACAGGGGAAAGGAATCCGTGCTTGCTGGGGATCTGCTCTGATAAGAGCACCAGCTGAGGCTCCACTGTGGAGACTGCCCCCGATTTCACCCCTTGGAAGGAGGTGGACTCGGATTTCAAGGCATCGATGCAGTTGTTGATGATCTGGTTCACCTTGTCCACCTCCTTGGCAATGGTGGAGATCTCGGCCACAGAGCTCTGGGTGTCCGGCGGCAGGGACAGCTCGCAGTCTCTCCGCTCAGGCTGCTCACCCGTCCTCACCTCCATGTAGTTGCCCTTGGTGGCCTTAGGGGTCTCACTGCTGTCAATCAGCTTGTACTGCTCGACCTCACCAGCAGAAGGCAGGTAGGGGATGCGGGTCACCGTCTCCCCACCCAGCATCTGTCCTTGGGACAGCTGGGTGATGCTGGTGGTCTCCATTTCTGGCCCATATTTCAGCTCAATGATGGTCTTCTTCATGCTGCCGGCAGCCTTTTTGTGCTTCTCCTCCTGCTGGCGCCTCTTCCGCAGACAGTAATACACAACGCCCAGAACAATGACCATGCCAAAGAGACAGCCCAGGATTGTCATGATATAATGAGTGGCAGTGGAAGGGGTGGGCACTGTCTCCTTGCGGTTGGGTCTGGTGGGTGTGATGGTGACGCAGGTGTGGTTGTACTTGGAGTATTGGTGGACGGAGACTACACAGTAGGTGTAATCTCTTTGTGCTACTAGGTTGCTCACGGTGATGTTCTCCTCCTTCTTCCTGAGCTTGGTGATCATGGAGGAGAAGCCGTTTTCGAACTGGGAGAGGATATACATCTTGCTGAACGGGTAGGGGATCTGCACGGTGAGGACGGCCGAGTTGTGGTTGAGGTGCTTCACCTGGATGTTGGGGCGCACCTCCGTTTCGCCGATGGGTGTGAAGAGGGAGAACTGCGGCGTTGTGCCATCGCCGGAGGAGCACTCCTCCTCGGAGCAGGGGATTTCAGAGGGCACCGTGGTCACCTGGTACCTGGGAGGGATAAAACGAGGAATCACAGTGTAGGAGCCACCAGTGCAAAGGGAAGAGAGCATGCTCAGAGCATTGCGGTAGCTGGTCCGGCCTTGGCCTAACAAGTAGTAGCCCGTGTAGTCGGGGGGGGAGTCGCACTGCATCCGGTCATAGGTGCGTGTCATGTTGGTGAATGCTTCCAGCCATTGCAGGAAGCCGAGGAGCTCGCAGGAGCAGTAGAAGGGGTTACTGTAGAGTTCACAGACAGAGAGCTTGTTTAGGCCCCGAAACGTGTTGCTGTCAAGTCTCTGGATCCTGTTCATGGACAGGTCAATGTTCATTATGTTGGGGAGTCGCACTGCATCCGGTCATAGGTGCGTGTCATGTTGGTGAATGCTTCCAGCCATTGCAGGAAGCCGAGGAGCTCGCAGGAGCAGTAGAAGGGGTTACTGTAGAGTTCACAGACAGAGAGCTTGTTTAGGCCCCGAAACGTGTTGCTGTCAAGTCTCTGGATCCTGTTCATGGACAGGTCAATGTTCATTATGTTGGGGCACTCCCAGAAGGCATTGGGGGTGATGGACTCGATGAGGTTGGCCTGGAGATAGAGGTACTCCAGCTTCCCCAGGCCCCGGAGGATGCCCTCGGTGAGGTTCCTCAGTCGGTTGTAACCCAGCTGCAGCACCTGGAGGTTGAACTGTCCTGAAAAGGCACCATCCTCGATGTAGGAGATCTCGTTCTTCGTCAGGTTGAGGTATGTCAGGTTGCCAAAGCGGCTGAGCGAAGCGTACTGCACGCTCTTGATCTTGTTGTCGTTCAGCCGCAAGTCCACGATGGTGCTGTTGATTTGCTGGGGGATGGACTCATAGGGGGGCTGGTTTTGGCTGCAGATGGCCAACCACACGAAGCCCTTGTCCCCCTCGATGAGCCAGCAGTCTGCCCGCACCCCGCCGGTGTGCAGGAGGGACACGGCTGCCACGCACACGCAGAGGGCTGACGTCGCAGCCCACCGGCGACCTGCCATCTGGAAGGACAGCGCAGAGAAGGGGTTCCCGGTCTGCTGGAAGCGGGGAGTGGGACAAGGGCTGGGAAGACGTGGGCTAGTGCTTCGTCGGCAGCTCCGCTCGCCTCTCCCTTCTCCTCCTGGCATGGAGATGGGGGGAAAGTGTCTGGGGGCACAGGGGGTCTTGGGGGCCCACACA